ATGAAGAGGAGAGACTTTCTTAAAGGTGTCTAAGTACCTATTTTTAAGTACTAGAGTACTTTTACTCACCCTAATTTATCTCTATATATATCTATTATAACATTGACTAATATATCATTATCCGAAAAGCAGTTCGTCTCGTAAAACTATGTAAACTGGATATATACAACCATATATTCGTATGTACATATCTATCGAGACTGGTTTTAGGTATTACAAAGAACTGTTAAGTATTTTATTTATTTCGTTTTAATTTTATTTCTACAACTTCAAAATAGAGAAGGTTTATATGTCTGGTTATTGTTAGCTTTATTTTGCAGTGAAAAGTCTTTGTCAATGGAGATAATGCGTTGCGGTTTCCGCTCTAATGCAACACTTTCCCTTGTAAATTATTCGGCCGCTTACACAAATACCATAGGGCTAGACCAACATTTTTTATCAATAAGGTAAAAGCTGCGTCAATATATTACTTCCATTCTCCAATGTTTAGCAAATTTGTGTAGCCAGGTGAGACGAACTAGTCTCTTATACACATAATTTGCTGGATCATGTTCTCAAATATTGTTGTTTTAGTTTTCATACTCACATACATACCTTGGTATAATTTAAGCATCTTTTATCTACTTGTTTCTCTTCTAATAACCGCGACAACGGCTTACACTTTGGAGCGTATCAAACATCAGACAACTTGAGTAGTAGCGCTGTGACTACGGCTACGTACGGTCCAATCGAATGACAGTCGACGTGATGAGCGGGAAAACGCATAAAATTCGACATTACAACTCATCAGTTCTATGCCAAAGGGCAGCACAAACAGTTTGGCGTTGAAAAGTGTGTGGCGATCGTGAAAGTGACGGGTGGTTATACCTTGTAAAAGTTTCGTAACAAACACAAACAAAAAGTGTGCTAAGTGTGTTTCATTTATTAATGTTCACTGTCTAACCCAAGCAATTAAGTGTTCATTGATTTGAACGCTTCAACTCATTACTGTGACTTTTTGCCACTTCAAATTCGCTTGGGAACTAAAACGAAAACTTGAGGACTGTTCCAGATTCAAATGCAAACAACTCGTTTTTTGGTGTCTCTATTCTGTGGATTCGTAATATTAACATTACCGGAATTGAATGGATCCACATTTATTTCCCATCATATTCATAAATGGAAGGCGGTGATGACTTCAATGCGGTATGTGCAGGAGACAATGCTGCGTACAAGCTTAAATCGTGCAACTCCAAACAACGGAATCGTTTTCGAATGTCGTACAACGTATGTGTTCATATAATATTTTGTGTGACTATGTGTATAGCTAAGTGTCAATAATTATTTAAATATCTATGTATGAATACCAATTAGCATTTCTGCAAAATCAAATTAAATGTTGAAAGGAAGCCTGCAACGAAGAAACAAAAATATCACAAACAAGTAAACTGAATATTAAATACTTTCGCTAATTCATAAATTTTTGTGTAAAAAATGTGTTTAAAGTGAACAAGAGAAAGACTAAGTTACGGAGGAAGTGAATAAAAAGATCTTTCGTGATGCGCAGAGCAATTATCGGAACCAGCTTATGACGCAACAATGAAATACACATAAGTCAGCAAAATAAAAATCAGCGCCCGTTCCAATTACTTAACCCCGACTGTCGTGGGAACGGGTTTTAAAATGGCAATATCAATATTTATTACATATATTTCACTTTTTTCGTGAACAGACAAACGTCACTTATCATTTCGCATTATTAGCTCGAATATTATCAATCGAAGAATCTTTGGTTTGATACCAAGCAGGAAATTCTGTAATACGATACTTAAAAGGAATTAGATGCGGAATGCAAATCATAATCAGTAAAAAATGTGCCTTTAATTCTTAAGTTGAACTAGTTCTAATGCGACTGATTCGTTTTCGCTTCGCATTACAGAGTCCCAATGTCAACGTTATAATCTTGCGTATGTGTTGGGCACGCTTTATTGAATATTGCATTAGCTTTTGCTATTTCTCAAATTTAATAATTTTAAGAAGAAGACTAACATACGCGCCGACATCAGGGTAATTCGTATACCAATTTCACACATTTTAGGAATTAAGCTGTAGTATATACAATATTATACGTTCACTACCCAAATACCTACTGGGGATTAGTGGTAGGATTGACCCGATTTTAACCATTTTTGGTATCACGACTTATTATTACCGGAGAAATATTCTCCATGAATTTAATTGACATATTTTAGAGGTTTGCCGATATTTTCGGTTAAAAACCAATTAGAAGGACTGAGGTTCACATATTTGGAAGCCTGAAATGTTATGGTTATTTTGACAATTTTATGTTTGAGATGGCATATTTTAAAAGCACCATTTATGCAAAGTTGTACCCCGATATCTTCATTGGTGCTGAATTTGTATACTGTAAAGCGAAAGAATTAGATGACTTTTAAAAGTGTGTTATATGGAAATTAGGCGTGCCTGTGCTCCGATTTCAACTATTTTTACACTGATTTATTCGCATACGCATATAAATTAAATGTTAAGCGCCAAATTTTGAAATCGGAATTTGAAATCGGTCAAATAGTTCCTGAGCTATAGGATTTCCCCAAAGGTGGGCGGGGCCACGCCCAATGTCCTATGTATATATTTGTCTCGAGCAAAATTGGTTTATATATCTCTAGTGGTTTGGGAGATAGAAGGGCAGGGATGAGCCCCCATTTTCAGGTGCCTCTCACTGCTGTCATCCCCTGCAATTAAAGTTTTGTATCTTAATTTGTAGGTTAGTTATGACACTTTTTATGTTTTAGTTTAGTGACTGTCTATCTATACTATCTTCCCCTTTTTGCAAGCGACACGTGTAGAAAGTTTCACAGCGAGATTTAAAATTTTATTTAAGTTGTCGCTTGCACAGACAGCCGGACCGGACAGACAGTCACTCGGAAATCAACTCGATTCGTCATTCTGATCATTTGTATATGTATATAAATAACTAGATATCTATCTCGATTAATTTTAGCTGATACAAAACAACTAGTATACTTTATAGCAACATGTTGCGAGAAGGTAGCGGGCTCAAGACCTGCGCATTACAGATACCTATGAGAAGCTGAAGAATTGTCAAAAATGTTTAACAGTCAGTTTAATACCTTTGAATTGTTGTTATTTAAAAATTGCCAGGTTGTTTGTTGTTCCATTGAACCACCGGTTTGTAATAAAGATCGAATTACTGGCTCAAGACATAACTGGTCAGACCTTATATGTATATTTCACAAATATTATTCACACTGTGTTGCAAGGCATGACACGCATGCAGTTATAATAATTTATTGTTATGCAAAATAGTCACATTTTGTTATTGTTTTTTTCTCAAAGTTTTTCACGATCTCAACTGGAATAACTCACTGCAGTAGGTTTAAAATTACACTGACTTGCAAAATAGGTGCAAAAGCTTTTTAATATTGTGAATATTTAGAGATAATAGGTAAGTTCTATCAGAGCTTAAATTACTATTCAGCAAGTAGGGAAGTTCCAAGTTCTGGCGCCTCCGAACATTGGATTCGATTATTTCGTATTATTATTCAACCTAAAAGCAATCAAGGGTAATACACCGACAAAAATAAGATTGTTATTTTGTTTCAAAATAAAGCTTAAGCTCGGTGATTTGTTTCTTGTGCACAGAATTTTGCACTTTAACACTTACATTTAACTTAAGTTTTCTCTCAAGGAATTGTCGCATTTTTTCGGCTTTCCAAATGTCAACTTGCATTTAAATAGACACCACGAATCTCCCAAAAATCCAAACCCAATGAGAAGATTGAACCGAAATCCAAGAGTTTTCTGCTCCCCGTTGTACCAGATTTAAGTCTCCGGTAAGACCTTATAGACTCAACTTCTGCCAGTTGATCAGCCATCAAACTGTATGAATGGTGACATTTGTCGCTTGCACTTCAAATGTATTTTCATTAGAAGGAATTCAAAGTCTATAATATCAGTTTAAGCTGAGTATTATTGCACTATTTCTGACATAACTATGCTGATATTTCGTGGCAATGCTTAAACATGGTATATATGGATTTTACTCACCTCTTACGACAGGCATAAATTAACGCGGGCAAAGTCTACCCCCTGCCCGCTGAGGAAACATGCTGCGACAGTATATATTAGACATATTCAAGTATAATTTAAACCTAATTTCATCTTAAAAGCTTTTTTAACCAGCTACCTATATTTTATATAAAGCTCAAGTGGTTTAGGATAATAATTTTACACGTTTTTGTATTAATTTATTATGTTTAAAAATCGAATTAATTAGTGTTTATTCACATTAGAGGTGTGTTTATAATTCTTTTTATGTGGTAAATTTTGCCAGTAAGGCTTATGAGCTCTGAAACTATCTTTTATTTATATGTTTTCATCTAATATAGCTACTTTTTGTTCTAAAAACTTTTATAAGATTTTGGTAATTACTTGTAGTATTCCAAAATATAATCTTTTTTCGTATTATCTCTGTCGGCCGTTTTTCGTTGCACTTGCCCAGGTTATCAGTCTCTAATATTAATGCAGTATTTGTATTCCAAGAGTTTTCGGTAAAATATCTTTTTTATTTTCAGTGATCTATACAGTCCATATTATCGCACGCTAGCAACAGTTACACTATAACTTCTTCCTTGTTCAATTCAGTCTGACCGTAATTTTTCAAACATTTTTCAAAATAAACAATACAATCGATATGAAAATGGTTTAAGTCCCTTTAGAAGACTTCTTCTAAGGTCAAATGATTTTGCGCTTATATTTTCAGTAATAGTTTAGTCGATCGGCAGATGATTTGTAGTTAGAATAAATTTTTGCTTGCAAATTAATTGCAAGATGATCATCTACAACGTACAATAAAAATAATTACGATGAATTATTAATGCATAATTCTTATCAAACAAATGGTCAATAATGAGTTGCTAAAATAAATTATATATACGGGTATATGAATAATACGTAGAAATTTTTAATGTTATGCGTTTATTAATCGTTAGGCTTATTAGTATTGAAACTTATCTTTATTATCCAATACTAACATGAGTTTTGTTTGAGTGCATCTATGTTCTGTAGAGTAGTGCTAACCGGTTCTCCAACTGCAACCGTATAAAACGATTTTTACAGTTCCTTAAAACTCAGTACGTTTTGAAACTTACTACAACGTTTACTTCTTCCATTTACAAATATCTCCTCGCAAATGAAGAAAATCACAGTAGTTGTCGCCGTTGCTTTGCTGTTAGTGCAAGTAAGTGTGTCATAAAATGTAAGAATATTACATACTTGTATGTATACGCTTGATTCATTAGGTCGTCAACACATTTCCACATGTTAAACGGGAATCTGTAGAGGTTGCGGTCAATGGAGATAGCATCAAAGACTCCTCGTCTAAGGATGATCATGTTAAACGTGAATCTGTAGAGGTTGTGGTCAATGGAGATAGCATCAAAGATTCCTCGTCTAAGGATGATCATGTTAAACGTGACTCTGTAGAGGTTGCGGACAATGGAGATAGCATCAAAGATTCCTCGTCTATGGAAGATCATGTTAAACGTGAATCAGTAGAGGTTGCGGTAAATGGAGATAGCATCAAAGATTCCTCGTCTAAGGAAGATCATGTTAAACGTGACTCTGTAGAGGTTGCGGACAATGGAGATAACACCGTAGACTCCTCGTCTGAGGAAGATCAAGCATCATCAGAAATTTTGATCTATGTTGTAGGAGCGATAGGTAAGCTATCTAAATGGATGCTTGAAAATGGAAGCGTTCTGATTAAAAATACTGTTAAGGATCTGGAGAAGCTACCAAACAAAGATCAATTGCTACAAGCCAATATCACACGTATGTCAAAAATAGCCAAAGAGGCCTCGGATTTTAAACTGCAAGAAGATGGAGAGAACATTTTACAACTATTTGAAAATATTGGTAGTTTTTCGGAAGTGTTATCTGACTATGAAAGCATGCCTGACGATTCAGACTTGAAACTCACATTGAAAACGGCTCTTGAAAATAATGGCTATGAAAAGTTCCAGAACGAACTTGAAGAGCATATTGTGAATTTAGTTGAAGAGTTCGATGTATTATTTGGTGAATATGTGAAAGGTTTAAGTCCAGACGAAAAGATAGAGCAAGCCAACTTGCTTAACTGGTATGAAGAATTAACTAACGAAACTGATGAAAATGAAAAAATTGACAAGTTTAGCGAAATCTTTGACTTGCTTTAGTCAAAGAAAAGGAACAATTGAAATGAACCTGCTTTAAAGATACATTTTGCATGAGTTTGATTTAATAATCTTATGCAGTTATTATTATAAAATATTACGATTATAATACAAATATTAAAATGTATATTTTTTATAAATAAAATTATTTAATGTGTGCTTATAATATAATATGGAATATATTCTACCAACCGGTTTGGCAGCCTAGTAGTTTTATTAATTATAAAATGTATTGAAAAACTTACTTTAACAATATCTATAGCCTACATAGCAACTGCAACAATATGAGTTAGCCATGTGAATAACTGATTTTCAAATAGAAGCAGCAGATTTGAGTTCGAAGTTAGTATACATGACCAGGCTTCCTTCAGCTTTTCTGCCCTTTGAATTGAGTGATTGAGTGTATACCGCCTTTTATTTCGTTAACGAACTCTGACAGGTTTTAGTATGTGACGGTTAAGTTATTCAGATAGAAATTCAAAACTAACAGTTCGTTTCATGTCTGCTAGGATCCTTTGGAAGAGATATAATATAAGAAAAAATGGATAAAATTCTAAAAATTTCAAAATTTTGCAACATGTTGCCCGTTCAGCTTTCTTAATACTCTAAGGAAGCAGGTATTATAGGTTCCTATAACTGAGTTAAAAATCGTACTACAGAACTCAAAGTTGTTTTATCAGTATGATAATATTATATATAGGACGAAACATCTATACTTTTGAAATTTTTAAAATGTGAGCGAAATCGGATGATAACCAACTCCACCCCCATACAAAGATTTTGTCGAAAGCTACTAAAAGTGCGATAATTTTTATTTATTAAAAAAGTGTGTGGTTACAATGGGATTTCCTGCATATTTCGTCTATAAAAGAATTCAAACACAACAAATTTTCTGGACTTTAATATCAAATATTTAAAATTTAATTTCCATCAATAAATATAATATTAATCACAATCGATTACATAATTTATTCGCAAAAAATAATTGACAAAAAGATTAATCTTCTTACAGTTCCAACATGCGCTTAGGAGACGAAGTACATTTCGAGTTGCAGCTGGGAGATATGCGCGGTTTCCATCGCTTGGATCCACGCCGCAAGCTGGCACTATTTCTGCATGGCTGGAACGACGAAGGTAGCAAGGAATGGGTGCAGGACATGTTAAAAAGTAGCTATTATTTAACAATTATTTTTATATGTCAATAATTTTAATTGTCACTTACATCAGCTTGGACTCACTTCGATCCGAATTATAGCGTTTGTGTTGTAGATTGGGGTCATCTCTCGCAGGTGGACTACAAGACTGCTTCTATGTCCATATTTGATGTTGGTCTCACAGTGGCTGGCATCATTATGTCTATGGAAAATTTACGACCCGAATATTTCACCCGTCGCAATGTCACATTGGCTGGCTACAGTTTGGGTGCCCATGCTGCTGGATATGCGGGCGCTATGCTTAATGGAGAGCTAGAGCAAATCATAGGCCTTGATCCGGCTGGACCGCTATTTACATTGCCAGCCGTTGTATCACCAGATTTTCGTCTGGACCCCACAGACGCGCAATACGTACAAGTGCTGCACACATCGGCGGGCACATTGGGTGCAGGCTTAAAAATGGGACATGCAGATTTTTATCCGAATGGCGGAAAGGCGCCTCAACGTCATTGCAATGTACTGGTTACGGATGTGCAGAATAGTAAGTATGTTTGTGCTTACATACGAGTATATGTGTGATTCCAACCAAATCGACGCATATCAATAGTAATATAAATGCAGCATGCAGCGCCAGCGAATGTGTTGACAATCTACTTAAAAATTCATTTGTTTCCCCACCCTCACTCTCGTTCGCACAGATGCGGTTGCGTGCAGCCACAGCTCATCGGCTGTGTTTTTCAAGCAATCCATGAATCCGGCGTTTCCGTTCGTGGGCAACCATTGCAGCAGCTATGATAATTTCGTGCATGGTCTCTGTAGGCAGGGTCACCGCGGACGTTTTGGCATACATTCACAACGCCGCAGCTATGGCAATTTCTACTTCGTCACCGAACCGCAGCCGCCATATGTGCAACGAAGACTGTGGCCACGACGACGGCATCACCATTACCAACAGCAACAGTGGCGTCGCCGACATAAGGTGCGCGCTTCAGCGGCGTTGGCAAGAAGCGCTTTAAGGCAGACGATATCCACCACAGCGGATGTAAAAGCAATGCAACCGTGGCAGCGCAAATGGCGGCGGCGGCGTGTATATTACTGATGACATTGTTGCTTGCACGTTGACGTTGTGGCAATTGAAGGATAACTGATGGTATTTTCATTGAAATAAATGCATTGTTGCCGAAGGAATAGCATAGTTAAACGTTGTATTGGTGTGTATGTAATTGTCTGTTGTCCGATAGGAATGCGAATAATCAGCCTATGTAAGTATGCAAATGCGCTTGCTGCCATATTGAACTGTGGAATTTAATTCCAAATTCACTTTGAGCTGCGCAGTACTCACACGATTACGTACACGATGCGTCGGTAAAGGTGAGAGGTGGCGGCGGTTCCAAGAGTTCTGAGTTGTGGTTGCGAAATGCCATAAACTGAGCAATGCGGTGTTGCGCGGCGCCGCATGTGGCATTTGGCGTTGTTGTGTGGTTTCGGCAGCATTTGCGTAATTATGTGCAACCGCCGCTCCCTGCCGATGTTAATACAAACACAGCTGTTTACCTGTGTGCGTGGCTACAATTGCGGTAGTGTTAACTACACGTCAGCGTCGACCTCTAGCAATCACAGAGCTGCTAAATATTTAAACCTGACTTGCCCGGTTAATATACATGCACGTAATCGTATCAACATACATATGTGTAAATACATGTGTTTCGATTCGTTTTTTCGGTCATTGCTGGAAATGCTGTTATGCCTGGCATTCGAATGCAATTTGTTAGCGCTCAAGTGGGTATGCAACTGTTCGTTTATTGGTTCTGCAGTGAGAAATTGGGGCAGAGTGCCTTTGGAATTTGACTGCAGCGCAGCATACCACACCGCTCGAAACACCTGTAACAATAGCGATTGCTTCACTTGTTTGTGTAATGTAAGCGCATAGCTTCTTCCTCGTCTGGTGTCTGCTTATAATTCTGGTATTGATGCTGAATCTGCCTTTGGTATGCATTCATATGAAAATATTTGGTAGGCTTATTGAGCGTTCTGTAATTGAACACTGGATTTTGGCCAATTGTTTATACCTAAAATACTTTTTGTAGTAGTAATTTTCACTTATTGGCATTCTGTAATAATTCTAAAATGTTAAAGGCATAATATAGTAAGTATGCAGGCGAAATGGAAATTTAGAGAATAGCAAATAATATGAAATTTTGCTCTTATTTTTTCATAATTAGGCATGCTCTGAAACTTGCTTCTACTTAATTAAGTGGAATCAAATTGAATTAATTTTGTTGGCGATAAAATTCTTTGTGGTAATGAAATTTGGTTGATATAACTTTGGTTGTTTGTGAGGAAAGTGTATTTAACTAATAACGGGTCAAGTCCATTTTTTGAAAAAATTCTATCTTTGTACCAAATTACAGTTTTGTTTCCTTATTTGGAGCTTAGTTTGAGTGCATTATAAGTTTTCGATAATGACAATAATGGTATGATTCCGCCCGTCTGCAATAATAACCTCCTCAGAGTGCCTAGATGTGCATGTGTACAAAACTTCATCAATAAAAGTTTTTACTACAATTTTTGCTTTCGTGGACAGACGTCGCTATAAACGGCAAAAAACTGGGACAATCGATTTTCATAAGCTTCTCTTGAAGTGAATTTTTCAAAATCATTTGCCATATGCCGGAACAGGTAGCAATCACAAACTATACGGTAGTTGCATTAGAATATCCCAACCAAGCTCACCGAGCTTCTGTGGCCTGGCGTTGATCTGACGCTACAGAATTCCTCTTCCTATTGGCCACTTTTAGGCAATGGTTTACTTCAGACGTTCCCACTTTTGACAGTACAGGGCCGAATTAAGGGATTGTAGGGGATCAATTTATATAAAAAGTTTGCACCATCAGTAACCATCCGCTTCAGAAACGAATCGCGTTTCAGAAGATATTCGCAGATCGAAATTCGGTCCATGACGTGTGGTCCTCTAGATCGTGTGATTTAACAACATTAGATTGATTTTTATGGGGATATTTGAAATCACAGGTCTATTGCAATAATTCCACAGCCACACGTGCATTAAAGGAGCAGATTTAACATTGCATCAATTAAATTTAGCCACATTTATGCAGAATAGTCATGGAAAATTTCGACAAACGAGTGCGTATGAGTATATCGAGTTTAAAGTTTTACAATACCGTAAGGGGAATACAACTATTATGTTTTCTGCTGAAACATATTGCGAGAGTATAAAACAGATATTTTTAACTTAGTATTTAAAACTAACTATTTCCGTTTACTGTGTGAATGCATTTGTATGTAGCCCTATTTCCGCCCACATGTAGCCCATTTTAAACGCCATATATTCATACAACTAAACACCTCCAAACAAATTTCAAAGCTTCCAACATAGACTTTGTTAACTAGAAATCTGAAGTTAAAGTTTAATCAACCCTATACTCGCTTAGTTTATTATCCACTCAACAGGATGAAGTGAGCTTGTAAAAACTTTTAATTGTACTGATATCTTCACGTCTAGACGTGGCTTTATTATTTATGCCTTAAGTGTAAAACACCGAACGGATACTTGCAACCGCTTTGTTATTTATGAACATGGTTGCATGCGTGTGTATTGCTTTTGCGCATGTGTGCGTGTGTAATGCAAATAGCCGCTGTGGCAACGTTTCTGTTGCAACATATCAAAACAGCAATCAACAGCTAAGGCCATACACCAAGTAGTTGCCAAGCCGTAATTAAATCTTACTAATTTCAATTTTACCCCCAACGGGACCGGAAGAACTCTTGACGTTTACGTTGTTCAAGAAACAATAACATCACCAACAAAATGAAAAAAAAAAAAAATAACATAAGCAATGAACAACTTGGAAAACATAAATAAAAATGTGGAGAAAGCGGAAGCTTTTAACACTACCAATACGATGAAAGAGCCGACTGGATTTGCTATTGGTGGAAGAGAAGGCAACAACACCCAGCAAAAGTTGCACAACATAAGTCATGCATGCCGCAGACAAAGTAATAAATTTTATAAAATGTAACAACAACA